GTTCTCACCAGCACCTTAGGTAAGCAGAGAATATTGACTACCCTGACTGCATAGCCCAGTGGATGTTCCCCATCTGTGTATTAGGAGAGGTCATTAAAATTTATTTTGTCAGTGTATTTTAATGTTGATCAAGATTCTTATTTCACTTAGACTGCCTTTTAAAAACTGTTTTGCCCTTCAGACAGCTCTTAAGGGTACAAATTACTTCAGAGCAGCAAACAATACAATACTTACCTAGGTTTGATCCATATTTAGAAGTAAGGCGGTTTTTTTTCATATGGGCTGCTTGCTGCCCACTTTTGCAGGGGATCCTAGCCTGAATATCTCGCTGTAATCACTCCATAGCACTGTAGGATAATAGCAGGGGCAGTTCCAAGAGCACATTTGCAAAACAAAAAGGCTCAAATAGGTCAGTGTGATGCTCCATTTGCTTTCCAAATCCTAGATAAAGCGTTAAGAGTTTCAATCCCAAACTGCACAGAGCCAGTCAGAGGCATGAACCAATAGCAACACAAACACGCCACCCCAAAACAAAGGGAGAGCCTTTCTAGTAAGCCCTAACAGAATCCACAGTCATGCATCACTAAGGTCTGCCTGACTGTTTTCATGTGCAGCAGGAATTGGTATTTTTCAGTTTCTAATGGCAAAAGCTAAAAGAGGAGAAGCAAAGGGGACAAAAAGCTAGAGAAGATTCAAAGAGCACTGATGGGCATAAAGACCAGACAGAGGCAATAAATACAGAGTAATTAATTTGAAAAAGTGCCGGTCTGAGTTGAGTGACATGGAGACATGCTGTAAACAAGGAATATTTAAAGGGGAAAATTGTGTTAAAGTAAATCTGCTCTATATTTTTCAAGTAATAGTTACTTAAAACAACTGAAAAAGTGATGCACCCTGCACTGGAGCCCTGAAACACAAAGAGAAATCTAGAACAACTGGATCAGCACACTTCAGAAACAAGACTTTAAATACACCTGCTAAAATTTTAATTTTTGCAGTTGCAAGGCTCCTGGCTGACAGTTACAAACTACTCATAAATCAATTTAAAAGTGTATTTTGAGCAAGCTGGCAGAAACCAGACAAGGCAGAAAGGTTCGTGACCAACTGAGAGTCAACCACTTCCTTGGCCAAAGAAAGGTATAATCCTGTTCTAATGAGGACAGAGCAAGACATTTTAACATAGTTCTTAAAACTACCAGATCCTAATGAATTAAAGAGCTGCATTTAAGATTTCTACGCTCAAACGAAATGACTGGACAACACAGATATAGAGGGAACAGGGAACCTGAATGAGTGCAGGACTGTAAAGGACTTGAAAGCAGGCAGCCCAGTGGAAGATGGGACTATAGGCAGGGCATCCCTGAAGGCTAATTCCATGCCCAAGAGGTGGCTATCCTGAGGCTGCCTCTATATCCAGAGGAGATGAGCTTCTCTAGAGCTCTCATAGAGCAGTAGTCTTGGCAGGTGTTCTTGAATGACCCATCGTCCTAACCAGAGGCCTTCCAGAGTGTCCTCCTAGTCCATAAGGCTATACCTGCAATAAAAGTTACTGATTTATCTCAGATGCCACTTCTCCATTATAGCTGCAAAAGGATTTGGCAGAACATAATTAGCAAGAAACACGGCCTGTTCATAGTACAAACACATAAAATGCAAACATAAGCCCAAACATGGCTGAAAAAAGGACTTCAGCTTCTCAGAAACATTAGGGAAGGTTTTCAAGAGTATCTACCAGGTCAGTTGTTTAGAAGCATATGACAAAAATGACTGGACTACAAAGAAACCATAGAGAATCAAAGTGAGTTCTCAACAGTCTTGATGAAAATAGTCTGTTGCTGCTAAAAAAAGTTTTGCTAAAAGGCACAGGATTGTCTCAACTTCTAAGTTTGGTATGATGAGACACAAAGCGAGTTATTTTCATTTCTCCTTCCTGAAGCTTTCAAGCAATTCTCAATGGGCAGCTGGATCTCCTCCATACGTGTTTCAGTAATAACTATGTCCACTCAATAATTTAAAGAAGTACAATTTTAGTTTCTGAGCACATCCCACTGAGCATCTCACTAACACCCTGCCAAGAGCAACAGAGAACAGTAACAGCCTTTCATAGTAAAGTTCAGAGTGCATCAGCTGCATCATGAATTTGTGCTGTGTAAAAAGCTACTACCTGGAACAGAAAGCACCCCTGTATGTCAAGGATGAAGTATGGGAGGTAAATAGGCCAGGTAGAGGGAAGTTTACATCACCTCTGCCAGCATAAGGCCAAGTTTTAATCCAATCTTATTTCCTCAGACCTGGCTGAGGCATGGAACTCCAAACTTAGCCAGCTAGGGGGTCTGAGCATGTAGGAGTTATTTATAGTAAAGGCAAAGCAGGGTTATGATAGCTTAAGAGTGTCTATGCACTTACCACAACTGGTCTGCTGTTCACACCCTTTCAGTTAAAAGCAGATGGACAAAACTCAAATAGACCCAAAAAAGGCAAAACGTATGAACCCACAAAACCAACTTAAACCCCATACTTGAAGCTATACAGTACTTAAACTCTTACCCTTCCTGATCTATGAAGTCTGAACATCCTGAAATGCCAAAGACCTATTTCAGAGCTCATCATCTCCTGCATCCTCCGTGCCATCTTTGAGGCAACACTTCCTCTCTGATTTTTTTTTGTTTAGTTCTGCACAATGTGCTTGTGTGACCTCACCACCTGCCTTTTTTCTGAACCAGGACCACCCCTCATTCACTTCAGCAGAATACCTGTTCCACATTGCTTGGGACACGGATCAAGGTTCCATAAAGGTAACTATTCCTCTTTTGAACTGCATCCTAATATATTTAAAATCAGCTAAATAGAACAAAAGTTACAAATCATGAGCGTGCTTTGCATTACTTACCCTTTATACCATGTCAAAGTTCAGAAGGAATTGTCTCATGTCCTCCTTCTGTGAACTGCATTTAAATCAGAAGCAGCACAACCTAGGGCACATTAACAAGGAAGAAAATAGCGCTACTGTAAGAATAGTTTAACACTCTTCCTGACAGGAAGGAGAGTACTAGTTCAGAATTTTCCTCTAAGTATTTTACTTTACCTCTTTGTGCTGATGTGTTAAATCCACAGTCCCTCCACACTCAAAAATCCTAGAGCTTGTCACCCTGTCACAAAACCACTGTATATGTGGAGAGAACTGCTGCCAGCTGGAAGCTCCAGAGCCTACCAGGCAGAGCCCCCCTGCCTCCAGGCATTACTGTCCATTTCAAACTCGATGACTACAGAACATTTCAGGAATCATCCAGGTGGCTTCATCAGCAGTGCTGATGCACACGCGCTGTGTGCTGGTTTCCCTCCAGAAAAAGTTCATGTTACAGGCTCTGTGGCCTCAAGCCAGCTGACCATCTGAATGGAAAAAGTACATAGGTGATTCTTGCTACATAAACAGAAAGCATCCATACAGCACATCAAACTCCTCTGCAGAGAACCCACAACTCTTGATGGGTTTTCAAGACACAGGTATTGGCTTTCCAGGTCTTCTACTGGATCCCAGAAACAACCAGATAAGCAACTCAGAGTTCAGCCACTCCGTTCTCCAAAGCTCTTCTGGCTTAGAGGTGATAGCCACAGCCCAGTGAAACATGACTGCACCTCTTAGAAAGAGATAAAACTTTAATCCTTGCAAGTGGCCAATCACTCTCCGAGGTAGCTGAATTCAACTATGGGCAGCAGACAGAACTTTGCACAGAGCCTGTTCACCAAAACACACAGATGTGAACTATGAGAAATTCCAAACAGCCACCAAAAACCCCATTTACATTTCAGCTAGTATTAACACGCTTTGTAACTGCTGCAATACATTAATTGACTGAAAATGGACATGTAGTTGATCAGTTAGCAAACCAGTATATTTACACATTTTCTTTTGGATATGTGAAATCCTGTTGACAGTTAAAAAACAACAAAACCAACCACAAAATGAGACAGACACCTAGGTACAGCTTCCTCTCAATTTGTTTTATTTGGCAAAGTAGCAACTCAGACAGTTCACACAGCATTTATTCAAGCTCTTCAAGTCTTCTACATTTCAACTTGTCCTTGTCTCCGAGTTTTTACTTCAGAACCATTGCTCCATCATGGAGGAGTTTCCATTTTTGACTCGTAAATGCTACTCCGGGATACTCCTTTCTGTCCGAGTACCTTGACTATCATCAACCCCTTCAGAGGAATGGGTGCACTACTCCCATCAGCCTTGGTCCCTGAAGCCTTACACCTCCTGAAGTGGTTCTCCCCCAGGAAGTTGTCATTGGGTCTCAGCTTTAACACCACTTCCAAGTCAGGCTAGCTTACTACAGTGTCCAGAGACAGGAATTTGGATACAGTTGAGCTCATATCTTTCATTTAACTGATTAAATTAGTGAGAAGATGTAAATAAAGCTGAACTCAAACTGGAAGATACAGCGACCAAAAGGTTGAACATTAGCATGCATCAGTTAAGATATTTCACTTCAACACCAAGAACTAGAGTCACAGTTGTTTGTGGGTTAGTACAAATTTGTCAGACGCAAGTGGATTTTTCTGGATTGTATTTTCTAGAATACTCGCTATATTAATTTCTTTGTAAGATTAATCTTGTGCAAGTGCTCCCAGGCTGCAGTCAGATCAGGAGGTGGTACATTAACTTACAAACATCTAAATAAATTAATTCATATACTATCTTTTGCAGAGGAACAAAATGGGGCTGGTCCTCAAAAGGCAAATTTTTTTAAATATTCCTTTTCCATATTCATAGGCCTTTGAATTTTAACCTTAATGCTTCCAGGGATTAATCCTATCACAAAATTATTACTCTTCTATCATAAAAAGGTGTTCTGGGGTTTTTTCCAGTGATCACTATGGGTTGTTTTATTCTAGCATCCTTCTTATCATTAAAAAAGAAAAAAAAAAAAAAAAAAAAAAAAAAAAAAAAAAAAAAAAAAAAAAAAAAAAAAAAGATAATACACTGTTTACTTTAATTCCTGGTTGCTCAAATTTGAGCAAGATGACTGAAGACACACTTCACCCCCTTTCCCAAAGCAGCCCACCTTACTGTACTGCTTCACAATTTGCTGTTAACATTGTACAGTACCAAAAGAGAAAACTTAGGGCAGAAAAAAAGGCTTGTAGCCTTCCAACTATTCTATATGAAAACTGAACAAGTGCATCTATCTGTACTTAGGAGTCCAGGATTCTTTCTGCAAGTATGATGTGTTCCTTCTATAGCAATTCAGAATTCACTTTCTAAAAAGCCAGAATTTTTCCTGGGTGCCCACAGTTATAAAAATAAAAATGTTAATACAGCAAATGGCTTTGCCAAAAGCAACTTTCTTTTAGGACCAAAGGGGGTTTTGGTTTTTAATAAAGAACCTACCAGTCCATATCTCAGACTACCTACCGATCCTAATCTTCCACACATGCACAAACCCCCACTTTTGCTTTTAACTTTATTTGGCAAAGCAGCATTGCAGAAATTATTCAGTGATTGGAACACACCTCACCTCACATTCATGGAGTTAGATCCATGTGTATCACACCAGCACTGAGCTATAAACCACAACAGAATTTCAAGATTACATCAATCAATTTTAGAAGGGAAAACCATGTCTGTTATGTCCAGCTTAAACAGCAATGTTTGATAAGAGCAGCCACCTACCTCTGATGTCTTGAAATTTAATATATACAAATGCCTGGTTTTAAGGTAAAAAAAGCTGCTGATTGTATCTACTACATGCTAGTCTATGACACCATGTCAAAAGCTTAGAAAGGAAGTTCATCTCCTTTTAGTAGCATCTAGCAGACGTTGGAACACAGAAAACCTGGTATTACCTATGCAGTGTCGTAAGGTGCACAGAAGCAGTTTTACCAAGGGACACAGGAGCTGAGAGAAGTGAGTGTTCAAGTTCCTCCATCAAAATTAGAGTTCACAAGCTGTAGGTCTTTATCTGCAATTTTGCAGAAATTCACTTTGAACAGATGAAAGTGAAATAAAGGCATGTTAAATAAAACAGTGCCCACATAAAACTTTCCACCATTTCTTTATCAGGTTTGCCTTGAGCATCTAAAAAAATAAAACAAACACCACGCTTTTCCATGCTGATAACAACAGTATAACAAAGTCCAAACAAGCTGCAATGCTGTTGGTTTTCAAAAAGCTTTTAGAACTGGAGATGAGCAGTCCACTGTAACACTATGTTTGGGTCAAGATGATGTAGCTTTTACAATTCATCCCTGTAGAAAGAAAACACATGCAGTTATGTTTCTTCTCCCCTTGAAAATGATATTTGAAAAGTTTTGATATTGAATCAGGTTACATTTAAGTGTTCACACACATCAGCAAAATTGCAATCTCTTCAAGCATTTGAGAAAAAAAAAACAAACACCAAAGGAAAGGCAACAGCAATCTCATATTATCTCATACTAATATGTGACTTATTGTGAATGGGTCCCTCTATTTTACATTTAATGGATCACTTGCCTTAAGGAAACCTCACACACTGCACAGCTAGTAAACACTGCTACCTGCCATCCGAATTCTGCTGGCTACACACTGGCAAGCAACTGAGCCAACTTACTAGACAGAGTATTGGCAAAATCCATCCTCTGTAGCTGTCAAAAAGGCAAGTTTAGCTTCAGCTGCAGTCTCTCAAGAAAGTGGGAACACAATCTTGCATCCCTGTCATGCAGTTTGTACCACTTAGTTTATTTATTTCTCAGATGAACTTGATTAGCTCCTGAAGGAGCTATGATAAATGAGGAGTAGGTTATGGAAAGACTGGGGGCAAGGCAGTGTGTGTATGTGTGTGAGCTAAAAGGGGATCTAGTTTGGAGAACGGATGCATCAAAAAGTCTCTCTAAATCGCTGAAAGGAATCTAGAAAATGCAGAAGTTTGTTTCTGTAGGACATTTAAAACACATTGAAACACAAAACCCATCGAAACCTATATTCCAACCATTAAGTTATCACATAGTAGTGATGTGTTGAAGTATTTCTAAAGCATTAATTTTTATGCAAAACACCCATCAAATCTGAAAGCTGTGCACTGTGCCACCCTGAGTGCTGGAAAACTCAAAGAGAAGTGCTTTGCCTCTTTTTTTTCACAAGATGCAAGTGATCTATAAATTCAGAATGAATTTGCTGCTATTTTTCTTTTAGTAGGTGCATCAGCCTCATTAGCCAAAGCAAACTGAATTAGAAAAAACCTCAGTAATGTGATTGCTGGCTCAATACACAGTAGTATTTCCAGCTATCATGCAAACTAATCCACAAAAATATAGTTCTACATGCACACATACAAAACCTTTAAGTTATAAAGCCATTATTATGCTCCAGGAATCATACAGCATGGAATGACAGCATGCAAAATATCTTAAAAGCAACTGAAAAGGCTGTAGAAACTAGTGCTTAAATGACTAGTTTTCTATCCAATGCAGTTGGGATGCAAACCTTGTGATTTTAAGTGATAAATATTTGCATTCTTTGCACTTTGCACTGCCTCCTAATAGTAAGGTACTAATGACACAGCTTTGAGCACTGCAGTAATTACAGACAGCAGAAAAAAAGCAGGAGGTGGAAGAACACATCTTGGCACGGATAAAGAAAAATCTGTTTATAGCTAAAGGTTTGGAAGCTCTCCATATTTGCCTATCTCACAGAATGGGTATTTATTTACTTTAAACAGAAAAAAAGAAATGAACATCTGATACCCAGTTTAAAATACAGTGCCAGTGAATTCAGGACAAGTGCTTCATTCATCCCTAACACTTCCAGGAGCTGCATCATCAGTTAATTTTACAACTTCAAGAAGTGTAAGTAAGTAATGACTACTTCTATTGCTGGCTTAGTCTCATATGCCTAATTGTGGGTGTGATTTTTATCCTGATTCCTACCACACACTCACAGCTTTACAAAACCCTCATCTTTTACTGTGACAGGCAATTCTTAATCCTTCAAAGCCAAGGTAGATCCTCAAGAAACTGTAAGCCTAAGAAACATTCTGTACTTACTTCAAAAATATTAAAACACAATTATTTTACCCAGCTGCAGGTGTTAGCAAGGCTTTTGCATAATCTTGCTAATGCATGTAAGGTATTAAAAGTGTGGATTTGTTTTTTCTTTTCCAAAATGATATTTCTACTTAAAATATGCATTATATAAATACGTAATTTAGAAAAAATTATATTAACATGGTAATGTTTGAATTGTTGGTGTTTTTCATTGCTTTGATGTATTCCTGACCACTGCATCCTATATGTGACATTCAAAATATGGATTTTCATATTTTATTTTTTAGAATATTTACTGTATTAAGGGGATCAGCTTTCCTCAAGAGATTTTTTACTTGCTCTTCACTACTCATTAATCTAGCAACTTGCCAGCCCAAAACAATCCACATGTTAAAATTATACAGCATTTATTTTCTACAGATAGAAATTGAATTTATATGTGCATTATTGGACTGTATGTATTAGAAAGTTCCAGAAAAGTCTCAGATCACCTGACAGGTAACAGTCAGCTTTCTCCCTAATGTAGCACAGCTTGCAGACACAAATACATATTGCAAACCAGCATCAGCTGACATGAGCTGATCCTGTATGGATCGAGAAGCTGCTAAGCTATGAAATCCATCAGGTTTCAGCTACTGCTAAGAATCAGGATACAGGCCTATCCTCCCAGGGGTACAACAAAATCTATCCTGCTACAAAGCTAAAAAAGAGACTCAAAGATTGTTCTTTCCTAGTTAAAACTATCTTGTTGTCCTCTAGAGCCACAGGAAAGATCTACTAATTTGTATTCTTTCTGTCCACAGATATTTGCTGTGACTCTTACACAACTCATGTAATTTCCCTCCACCTTCATGTAGGCACTCCTTCCAATCTGCTTACCAGCTCCTGCTTAGCAAGCAATATACATATAGCGTTTAAATCACCATAGTAGTCCTTCTCAGGCCTTTGGAATTCCAGCAAGAGAATCACTCATCTGTCAACCTAGGCATTAAAGCAACTTTGTAAGCTCAAGCTAAAGCAAATTTCAGAAGTCATTAGCTCAAAATTACTATTCTTGAAAAAAATTCAAGAAAGCTTGAAAAATTTTGGCTTACTACTAGGGAAAATATATGCATGAATATTCTACACTTCCCATTATGAATATCCAACAACAAACCAAGAAACATTCTCAGAAAAAATCTAATAGGCAGCCATTTCAGGTAAATGATAAGAGTTTGTCCTGAAATAAAATAAAGAATCAATAATCTTATCAACAATGAGTTTGGGATACAAGTAAGTCATACAGCTTTGTGATCCCTCACCACCTCTTTAGTGGACAGCATTCAAATTAAATATTTGAACTAACATTTATAAATCTATCTGAAGACTATATCTCACTCTTTTAGATCCACTTCAATTTTCTTGTCATTAGGCATTTCAATGTCATTCATCTATGGAAAACATGTTGTCATTACTAAAAGTGAAATCAAGAGTGTAGCCTTTTATAACTTAGAAGTACAGCATCTACTCAGTGTTTCAGCAGCCCATTATTTCTCACTTTATAACTTTAAGGATGCAATATTTAGACTTGTTTTAATTTTTAATCTGGAAAGGTGCTATTATAAAATATTTATTATTTGCTATGTTCAATCATAAAACTGAGAGTAAATTGGAATGATGAAGGAATTTTTTCCGTAATCTACTGTATCAATGTATCAATATATGCACTTGTACATAATTGCATTGGGTTTGCCTGGCAAAGTTTTGTTAGTGGGGGAGTGGAGGGGCTGCAGAGGTGGCTTCTGTGAGAAGGTGCCAGAAGCTTCCTCCATGTTCTACAGAGCCAACACCAGCTGGCTCCTAGACCGACCCTCCACTGGCCAACTGGTCAGTGAGGAATGGAAGTGACACCTCTGTGGTAACACATTTAAGAAAGAAAAAAAATTATTGTGCAGAGAAGAGCAGGGTGAGAACATGTGAGAGGAACAGCCCTTCAGACACCCACATCAGAGGAGAAGGGGCAGGAGCTGCTCCAGGTCCCGGAGCTGAGATTCCTCTGTAGTCTGTGGTGCAGCCCGTGGTGAGGCTGCTGTGCCCCTGCAGCCCATGGAGGATCACAGGGATGCAGAGATCCACCTCTAGCCCATAAAGGATCACAGGGATGCAGAGATCCACCTGCAGCCTATGGAGGAGCCCAGGCTGGAGCAGTTGGATGCCTGAGAGGAGGCTGTGAACCTGTGGGAAATGTGCTGGAGCAGGCTCCTGGCAGGGACCTGCAGACCCATGGAGAGAGGAGCCCATGCTGGAGCAGGTTTCCTGCCAGGACTTGTCACCCTGTAGAGAGCCTACACCGGAGCAGGCTGTGTCTACAAGAACAGTGACCCACCTTGGAGCAGTTCATGAAGAACTGTAGCCCACAGGAAGGATTCATGTTGGAGAAGTTCATGAAGAACAGTGTCCTGTGGGAGGGACCCCATACAGGAGCAGAGGAAGGACTCCTCTCCCTGAGCAGCAGTAGGAAGAACACGTGATTAAGTGGCTGTAAACCCCACTCCTTGCCTCCTTGCACTGCTGGGGACAGGAGGTAGAGCTAGGAAGGAGGGGGAGAAGAGGTGCAGGAAAGGTGTTTTTAAGGTTTGTTTTACTTCTCATTATCCTGCTTTGATTTTGCTTGGCAATAATTTCACTTAATATCCCCAAGTCAAGTCTGTTGTATCCATGGTGGTAACTGATGAGTGATCTCTCCCTGTTCTTAACTCACAAGCCTTCCGTTGTATTCCCTCTCCTCTGTCCAGTTGTGGAGGGAGTGGCTTTGTGAGCACCTGGTATTCAGTTGGGGTCAAACCACCACAGTAATACATAATTCTTAAATTTAACCGAAAATATTTTGTGCAGAGATTCTTTTTGCCAAAGTAAAATAAAAACTTGAGCCATAATCAGTATTCTGTATGGCCTGAGGGATTCCAGCAAACAATACCTGCTAATTTCAAATTAAATTGGTCAACTAGCTCATCAGGGGCACTTGAAACACTGAGTAAGAGTTTCTAAGCAGAAGCCTATTAAAACATATCCTAATAAATACATTTTCCAAAAGGGTGTTAATCGTGGTTTATGTACAGGTAAGTGGGGTACAGTAACAGCCCCAGTTTAGTCAGGGAAGTTTTTGCTCAGAAAGGTCATACTGTCATTATAATTTTGTATTTTATCAGCAAGTATTAATTTAGCATGACATTAATAAATCATTTCTACTAATACAATATGTAAGACAAAAGTAGTTAACATTTATAAATGGCTGTCTGTCTGGAAATCAAACTCAAAATGCAACAGAGACTCACTCCTAAGTGCTATTTACACTGTTATTCTCTTATGCCTCTGTATCAGCAATAGTATGACCAGCAGGACAAGGTATCACCTGGAAGTATTTAAAAGATGTGTAGAAGTGGCCTTTAGGAACATGGCTTAGTGGTGGACTTGGCAGCACTAAAGGGTTAACAGTCAGACTCAATGACCTTAAACATGTTTTCTGTCCTAGATAATACCATGATTCTGTGACTTTAAAAATTGTCTTTCTATATAAGTAGTAAGTAAACTCTCACAGTGAAATAAAACCAGAGAGATCCTAACTTATACAAAATCTGGCAATAAGGCAGCCATCAAGCCATGTTCCTAACTGTGCTATACAAGAGGCCTTCTTTCCATCCTATTTTTCAGTAAAAAAAGCCAAAACAATTGATATATTTTATGTGAAAGGATACCCTTATCAGTATAATCACATAACTGAGCATTGGCTGCTAGATCTCTGGCACACTGCATTGCTTTTTTTGTACCAGAGATAGGGTTCCTGTGTATATTCTACTTCCAAATGTCCCAGGGAGTCACATTTGACAGGTTTCCCACTAATATTGGGAGCTTAAAAAAATACTGCTGCAACTGAACCAAAACTAGAAACTCATGGCCTAAATTTAAAGAAATTTTACAATATTTACAAATAAGATGCTTTATTTAGCAATAGATTTTTTTAACAAGGGATCTTTCCCTTCCAGCTAGTCCTGACTTCCTTTTGCTACAAGTTCCAGTTTTACATAGTGAAGTATGAGGTACAAAATACCTGAAGACAGGTTTGACTTCAAACACCACTTTAGAGTGTTGTGCTGCTTTGCAAAAGCACCTTGCATCCCCATTAAAGAACATTCAAAACATGAATGGCTCAGCAAAAATTTAAACAGCTTCTTTCCTGCCAACTGGAAGGTCTGCTAGCCTAGGAAAATGCTGCTGGCCTATCAACTGTATTCTGTGAAGGGACACCAATTCTTCATTCAATGTGACAAAAGTTACCTGTATTAGGAATGAAATCACATCAAGTAAACTAAAAGAATGACAAACTAAACATACAGAATTTAGCTAATCTTAAAATTATTATTATTTAATGAATTTGAGATTTACAGCAACTAGTCTCCCATACACTAAAGATTTTTATTACAGAAACACTTAGAGACTCCTCTGAAAAAGGATCTCTAACTGAACTCTGCTCATAAATCTTGAGCAATTTAGAAAAGAAAAACTGAAATCTAGGAAGTGAAGAAAAAACACCTCTTTCATCTTTGATGCCAGCATAGATAGCAAATGCTGACTTATAATTGGTAATTTCCTTAGCAGCAGCTGGCTGACCATACATTTAATAGTCACCAACAAGGAAAAACCAAAAAAAAGAAAGATGCAACCTCCTGTAATGTCAGCAGTGCACTGAGAGCTATCCAAGAAAATGGAATGGGAATTTTCTTCAGATCACAAAAAGGACAAATAAATATCAAATGTTACAAGAAGTGGACATCTGAGATTTTCTTTAACAGTTCCAAGACTGAAGGAAATTTAAATGGGCATAGCAAGATACAGCCTCTATGCCATTGCAGATGAACCCTTCAGGCTAAGCATTTATATTTTCTGATAACACCACTGTAAATTCTTAAGTTAAAAATAAATAAAATCAAGAAGTGTTTCAGAAAAGCACAGAAGCTGGTAAAAACTTCTGAGGAAAATAACCCTACAGCATGCATGACTGAAGAAGGCCCAAAGAAAAACTATTAGCTCTTCCCAGCTTAGAAGACAAAACAAAATATCAAACTGCACCGAAGAGAAGCAAAAACCTCAGAATTCTAGTTCTTAACACAGTATCCCCCTTCACTTGTAGCAAGGGATAAACACTATCATTTGAGAAACCCTTCTTAAAGTGTTTTATGAACACACACTATTGCTACCAAAAATATCCCAGTTGCTACTAATAATCATGTCAGGTGGAAATGGAGAAAAATCTATGAAACCTCTCTGAGAGAAGGAAGGATGACTACACTTTTTTAGAGCAAGCGAAGCATGAACTCCAAACTTAAATAAAACATTCGCCAGAGGAGGAAACCAACCACAAAAGAAAGCTTCCAAAGCCTTACAAGAGGCAGGAAACCCCCGAGTACCACACTGAGGGAATACTGGCAATATTCGAGGCCAAAGCATTCATTTGCATAAAAAATACAAAACATTTGAATAACAAGCACGCTTGAATAACAAGCTTTGAACTAAGCAGTATTTCAATGAAGTTGTTTTAAGAATAATTTGTACGTGGTGGCTATATAGGAATCCAAGAAACACTGAAATGAGGTTTCACTAAGCAACAGTATGCAAATGCTTTATTTGTACCTTTTATGAATATTTTGATAGGTTAGACTAAGATTTCATGTATTCAAATCACAAGCTATACTCCAGAATATCAAGGGAAAAAAGCCAAAACCCTAAATTTAGGTTATAAAGCTCAAGAGTTGTTTTCAGGACTCAATGTACATCTCTGCACTTCACTAATGCCAATAATACATTCACAAGCACTTTCTGCCAGGAAGCAAAACAGCACTGCTGTTTTGTTCATTCACATACTAATGCCTAGCATGGCTTAAGCTGACAGCTGCATGAAGTCTATTTATTTATTTATTACTGGCTGTTCAATTCAGCAAACTGAAACATTTCCTACTTCTAGAAAGGCCTTTAGAGTTTGCTGTACTGGCAAACACAAATACTGCCCCATCAGTAGAGACAGATGACAGACTTCTAATAACATGCTTGAGAAAATTTTCTGAACACTACTCAACCACATTTATACTTCAGGGAAGAAGGAATTATCTTCTCTACTTTTTGCTACTTGGGGGCTAAAGGAAAAGTGCTTGCAAGAGCATCTACATTTTCCACAAAGGATTTTGCAAAGATTTTTCTTCATTTGTAGTATTTCAGAAAAATAAAAAATGAACACCCAATTGCCACTAACTTAAAGGACAAAACAGTATTTATTAGGTAAAATTTTACACTTCACCCTAATTATTGGGCAAAATAGTTATAAAAAGTTCATTAAAAGTGAAATTTAACCTTAGAAAATACTGTGTTTAAAACAACAAATAAGAATCTTCAAAACACCAAAGACTAAAGAAAACATGTCCAAAAAGACAAAGTGCAACCCATGCAATATTTTTCTTCCGCTTTTAATTTAACTCAAACTTAGCATAACCTCCTTTGGGTGATGTAGTAATGCAGACTGAGTCACTTTTCATGACATGGAGGAGCAGAAAGCAATGACAGCAGCAAAGGCAGGCCTTGCAGTCTATCTGCTTAAAATTCACACCCTTTCACCTTGCAAGTGTGTGGAAGAAGTAAGTGGAACAGAAAATCACTTCCACCTGGACCACTGCTTCTCTTTATCTGTTAAAGGCACATATATCACTCCCATCAGAGGCTTCATTTTGACACTGCCATCTTCTAGTTTGTCATACTGTTCGAGCATCTGGTTTCCCCCAGCAGGGCCAACTGGTAATATCAATCTTCCGCCAGGTTTTAACTGGTCTATAAGCTAGAACACAACACAGAAATTAGAATGTAACCAGCCACTTCAGAGAAGCTGGATCCAAAGTTTGTTACAGTAGATTAATAGCTTTGCCATTATGTATCTATCTACTTTTATGCAATAGGTAACTACTTCCATTAGGAAAAATAAAAAGTGCACTGAAAATGAGAGTATCACAGCAACATGGTACAACAACGGGTATTACAGTAAAATAATTTAATTAACTGGATAGCTTCCAGTTTTATTTTTTATATATGTAGGAGATACATGTAAATCACAAAGTATTTTTACAGTAGATTCAATTTTTTGAAACTGTTTAACTGTTCATTAGTTATTGTGCATCAATACAGGCCCATTGTCAAAAATTCTGGGGGTAACTGATCTCCCCTTCAGCCTTCAGAATAAGATTTGAGATTGCTGAGTTATTATTTCTCTTCCTGGAAAAATTTCATCAACAACACACTCATTACACAACAGCTCCTTTTTCATTCTGTGAATGGAATAGCCTTTTATGAAACTAGTCTAAAATATATGAATATAAGCAAGATAAGTGGCATGTTAACATAGTACGTGAGAAACGCTTGCATTTTTTTTCCTAGTTAAAGGTGGCTAATCACAGTAGTCTCAAGGAAAATTTCATACTTCCTAGATGTGAAACACACACAATCGCCATTGCTAACAAAAGTTGTAATAAAAAACTGTTTCATTCACAAATAGGATTTCAATTACTTTTTAAAGTCAACATTTTGCTGGGAACACTCTCCCTCCCGCACAGCCCTACAAAAAAAAAGGCAGCAAAAAAACTCAAACAACAAAACCCAAACAAATAAATCCCTCTCGAAGAAAAACTAAAAACACAACCAAGTTTAAAAAAATTGAAGCAAAAAAAATCCCAAATCCCACCACCACTGATCACAGTGATCTGAAAAGGTCCAATATGTCTCTAACACCTCAAAGCCCAGTCTTTTACTATCCCTCCCTGTAAAAACCTTAAGTGGCATCTAGCATGTAAAAGTCATGCTATGTATTACCATGTGCCTCAGGAAAGGAAGAGAAAAAATCTTATCTGCAAAAATGGACTATATGTATGTAAAGCCCCTAGTTACTCTTCAGCTTCTCTACTAAGAACTGCCCTTTATCCACTCTGAAAGCTATGAACAAATGGCACTGTTTGTACTTCCAGATGAGCATTTTACTTTCAACAGACTCAGTGCTTTGGAACTTGGGAAACACACTTAAATTTTGTAACTCCGTGTTTGATAAAACTGAATTATCTTATTAAATAAAATGCTCCAGTTCATTGTTGTAATAGAGGGTTGCACACATGTAATTTTAAAATATGTTTATTTAGAGCAGAGTTATTAGAACATACAGCTTTATCAAACCAACAGGAAGCCCAACTGTAACAGAGACAAAAACCCCGCACCATACAGTAATACCACACTGCCCACTGATACTCCCAGCAGTGCAAGCTACCAAGTATTGTACATATAGATGTATGCAAAGCATTCTCTACAGCTAAGATAGTACAGAAACACACACACAAAACATCAAGGCTTACTGCTTGGGGCACAACTGGGGCTGCAGCTCCAACATGAATCGCATCATAGGGAGCTTCTTCTGCATATCCCATTCGTCCATCTCCCACTGCAAGAAAACATTTTTTAAAACATTTTTAAAGAGACTAGAGAAAACATCTGGTTTCCCGTATCTGTATGTAAAAAATAAACACATTTGTAAAATAAATGCACCAAAATAACCCTCATATGTGCATATACAGGCTTACAAAATACACTAAATACTACTGAAGCATCTGAAATTAGAAAGCATGGATTTATAATGAAAGTCCTTGGAAACACATGGTTCACCTAGAAAACATACTAATGTATTTATGTTCCCTACCAATTCCAGTGCAGGTGAGTTTCCCCCCTCATTTACCCTCTTAGAACATACACTTTACTCTGCCTTGTCTTCATGCACACCATTCCTAAATATAATGCAAATCATAAGTCCAAAGCATTAAATGTCAGAAGCACATATCAGAAGACTCCAAAGATAAGGAAAAGACAAAAGAAGTGCTCCCATGGACAATATGCCTACAACTGCACTACCAGTCAGAACAAAAGCCCACACCAATATGCATACATTAATGCAGTACTGCAGTAACCTCTGCACACCCCAGTTCCAGCAGATGGGCCTCACTATTCTTCCTGCAGATAATCACTGGACTAACACAGAGAGCCAGGTCAGACTCATGGCTAAAGCCCCAGGTGGCTGCTTGGAAGATGCTAGGAGTAATTAAGATTTTCAGAGGTTACCAGTGCTGCTTCAGCTTTGGTGGAGTGGGAAGCACTCTATCAGGGATGTCTCAAATCATCCCAGTTATGCAGAAGGAAGGAGTAATGGGTTGGGGGTTTTAAGCCAATACAATGTGACAAACTAAACTGGACCCTGAATTAAGTTTTGAAAGAAGATGTGAATATGGCATCCATAGTATTTACAGGAAAGCAACAGGAAATCAGAGCAAGTTAGGCAGGCTCTCTCTAGAGTTCTTTAGAACAAATGTAATAAATGAGGATGAACCGTTCATAAATTCATACTCTGTGATTACAGAAGTTCCAATAATCAGTCAAGAATCAGCACAAGTAATTTGGGGTTTCTCATCTTTGGGCTGAGCTTTTACTTCTGTGAAAACACCAATATCACAGGTTAATTAAAACTGAAAGAGTTAAAAGAAGTGCTATGCCCCAGTCAGAGGCTGAAAGTCTGTCAGCTTTTTCTCTCCCAACAACTCACAAGGCAGGAAAAATACATGGTCACCATAGCAGGTTTCATTTTGACCTCCATGATAAAGAGGGCCATCTGGCTAGCAAGAACACCCTTAGGTATCCTAGACAGTACAGGAAGACCTGGACAGCTCCTCCAAACAGTTAAAACTGAGGTGTTTGTCATCTTCCTAATGAAGTCCTAAAAGATGACCCTGGCAAGGATCTTCTGCACCCATGCTCTTTAAGAGAGCATATTTCCTCAGAAGCTGAGAAGCCTCTTAGAGGTCAGTGACATAAATACTCATATCATCAATTCTGACCAGCACAAGCTCCAACCAAGGGCCACAAGCAGAAGCTGCCAAGGAACAAGTACCAGTGCTTCAAGAGAACTCATCCCTATCGATCACCATTTCCACTAAATCAGATGGCAACAGAGATCACCAGTAATGAAAGTTCCAATATTTCCAGGGTGTAATCCCTCTGACTGCCAAAGTGGGCTCTACTGGAACAATCACCTCAATGCAGTCAAGTATATAATTTATATTTGTGTGTCTTAGGAGCACTGTACAACTCTTCTAAAGAAGCAGCAATGATGTGTTACTGTATCAAGCTGCTGTTCCATCAGAGATGGCAACAGAGAAAGACTTCTTTAGCTTATTCATACAGATACTGATAAAAATTGTTTTAGTTACACAAGGAGGCAGACCCTCATTCCCCAGGGTGCACAGCAGGTATTAGAAGCAGTGATCTCCAGTACTGCTCGCAAATGAAGTGATTGCCAACTTGAAGAAGCAGCTGTGAAAGAAACTGCTGTCACTTCTGAAGAAGAACACATATATTCTGAGATATAAATGTCCCTAGTGCACTCTCCAGAGAAGTTTTAATGTGATTTCTGCACATCTTATCACTTTACTGACAGCAGTAAAATACCCAAAAACAACTAACCCCCTTGCTCTTAGAATCAATAGCTAACATCTTCAAATACAGCACACACCCGACCAAAGAGGGAAAAAACAAAAATCATGCTCCTTCATATGCATCAGGCACAGCATGGCTCTTCCCTTTTAAAATCTACAAAAATTCTTATGTTACAGAAGAAATATATCCACCCACAACAGCAACACACTTTTAGATATTCAGATGATTTAAAAAATAGTTAAGTTGGCATTCATATATTCAATGTAATTCAATTTATTATATTATTCAATGTCCAAGGGGAAACAGCAGCCCAAATTTTCAGCTTGTGTTTACATCCTGAATAATGTCACCTATCCTACTCACATCTCCAGCTACATGCAGCCTGTTAGAGAAGTAATTGTGGTGGTGGGTGGCAGGTGGTGATGAGGAAATGTCAGGACTTTTTGATTTAAAAGGGTTCTGTAGCTTGTTTATAAATCTAGACCTGACCTGTTGATCACAATACTCAAGCCTTCAGTGCCTCTATACAGACCTGTTTCACAGAGTTGTAGCATGAGCACAAAAACAGAAGAAAATTACTTCCCTCAGTCATTTAGAATCCCTCATGCCCGCTGGCTGCATCAGCAAATAGTGCAGTACAATAGAAGCAGAACTGTACAGCAAAAGTTTTTGCTGAGAACCTGGCATCCATACAACATATGCATTTCAGGATAATCGCTGCAGTCTAGATCCTAAGTCTTACTGTCTTAATATCCACATATCAAACATATTTAGTTGCTTCTTGGAACACATAATCTTGTCTAGTTTCATCCAAAAGGAATCAAATTTTGTGCTTTCCAGGAGTACTCTCATGTGAGCCAAAGAGTGGGAAGTAGCACGTGAGAGATTCACCTCAAAGGCTTCCTCCTGATATTAAGAGGAAACAAAACAAAAATCAAGCTATTAAAAAAAAAAGCCAAAAGACCCAAAGATTAACAAAGACATGTTAATCCAGTATACCTATTCCCAACTTCTCAGTTCAGTTCTACTGAGACATCCCAAAATAATTTTTGTGTTCCTGAAATGCAGTTAGGGTATATGTGAGATATGACAAAGCAGAGTAGAATGTCTGAAGCACACTATGAAAAGCCAGCAACTGACACACCTGTCTTATTTAATACAGCTCCCATCATCAACCAACTGGTTTTCACAACTTCTTTCTTTGTGTGTTTGGGATGGGAGGTTTTGGGTGTGGTTTTCTGTTGCTTTCTTTTTGTTTTAAATGAACAGCTGTCTGGATTCTTGCTCCACATCAGAGAGCTCCCAGGAACCCAGCACAGTTGAAACATTCTTCTCAACCTAATTCACAGAAGTATTACTTGCCCATCTGTACTTTTTAAATGTACCTCACAACAAAACTATCTGCAAGTCTCTTAGTCACCCTGCTATATAGTCAAAAATAATAGAGATAATGATGTTTACTTAGAATTCCAGACTTGCAAGAGCACCAGAGTTTGTTTCAGGAATGACCAGAAGCATAAGTCAAAATTGCTTTTGTACAACAACAATGGAAAACTATTCCCTCATTCTCCCTTCTACAGCCCTTTTCCAAGAAGTTCTGAGACATAAGTGTTCTCAGCGAGATACATTGCATTTTATACATGCATATGTGCTGATAAACTTATTTAAAAAACATTTTTAAAAGTCCCTCATTTATAAGAAAAGACCAAGAATCAAAATGGTTATTAAGCTAAAAGCCAAACATCACGTAATCATTTTTCCAAGTGTTCTTGTAAGAAGCCTCAAAAAAACATCCAGACCTTCAACTTCTTTTTTAAACTTACTGAATAGAGTAACACTTTGCTCCTGCCAGCCTTGCATCTTCTAAGAAAAACAATGACCAAACAAAAAATCCCAAACAAAGAATAAAACCAAACAAAAAATCCCCCCAATAAAACCAAACAAAAAATCCCCCCAAATATTTTTTTTTTAGTAAAAAACATTATACAAAATAATTCACTGTCCTTGTATCATTTGGCCATTATTTCCTCTCAGTAACACTAATTGAATTAAAGTACTTTGGTGACAAACACTTCTCTAACAGACAACTACTGTCAATTTTAAAAGCAAGTTAAATAAGCTTCAGTAGTTCATACTGCCAAACTAGTACTTTTTCTACTTGAATCTTCACATGCAGCTTTTTCAACTACTCTATCAGAAGTGTGAAGGCTTTGTTAAAACACTCAAATTTAGATGACAGGGTATTTATTCAAGAATAATTGTGAATTCAACCCCAATTTTAAACAGCAAATACAACATGACAAACCAAAAAAACACTTCCCTGTTAACCTTTTCTAGTAGATTACACAGTCTTTGAGATCACTAGAAGTCATATTCTGAAAACTAGGGGAGGATACTGTTTTTCAAAGGCCTAAAGACAATTTCATCTGGCTTCTCTTTCTTGGGTTTAACTTCTTAAATTCAAACTTTTAATAGCATCCAATTCAGTCATTTTCAACCAGGTGCTAGAAAGAATATCAGTTTATGCTCACCAATCAGTTTCACTCTTCCTGAAGACAGCAATGTGGGATCGTCTTTTTTGACATTATTTATTGAGTCATCTACTAGTTCTTTGATATGATCAATTCCTACAACTTGTCCTTTGGGACCAACCTGGAATAAAAATATATAGTTGAACAATTTCTACTGGTTTTGTTTACAGAATGATTACTTATACTTCCTGACCCCATTTCTCTAAGATAAAAACAAAAACAGCAAAGTAGAAGTATATTTTCCCAATGTTATTAAAACTACTGCTAGAAATGACAAATCCTGACTGCTAGAAGCACCTGATAATGAAAGTATGCCTGCACAGTTTTATAAATACTTGTTAGAGTGATCTTTTTGAGATGCGATTCAGTTCTGTTATATTGTTAGTGGAGATTTCTTCTTGGAATTTTTAGAAGTTAAATTTGATCATGTTTGTTTTCATTAACTGCAATGAAAAGTAACAACGTCAAGGACAAAGACTAGAACTGGTTTCCTTTCACACTGAACAAAACTTACTAAGGATTACGATTTTTCTAGAGAAGACTTTACTTCAAGGATTAAATCATGATTTTTATTCAGAATCATCTCAAGAGTCCTATTCTTTCAGAAGCAAATGCTGCAATTAACAGTCAGGGACAAATTACCTTCCACTCACCCTTGCATTCATGAGCCTACTTTCAGATTTACAGCTCTCCTCCACAGGAAGAGTGGAACTTCTGAGAGCTCTTAACTCAAAAAAGGTCACAAAATCTCTGTATTCTGAGAGGGGAAAAAAGCTCTACTACCAAAACTTCTACAATACAGGTATTTCTTCCAGAATTTTGTCTTTAGTCCAGAAAAAAACATTCAAAACCAATCCAAATCTTCAAAAATCTGACCACTTTTAACAGAATCCAGCTCAAAGATCACAATAGCAGAGAATGTCCTAGCAGCAGCCTATGTTGCTTAACAACTGTCTTTGGACACATCTGAACACACTGTTTATGTGTCTGTATCTTACATTTTAATACTGTTAAGACATTGACAATTAGTAACTGGTTATCCTGGGGAATTTGTTTGTTTTATTATGAACAAGTCCTATGTTAAAAACATTAAAAGAGCAGTGTTAGCTTTTCTTGTTTGCGTGGAAGACCACCACCCCAGCCTTTGAAACAGAGCAAGACAGAGACCAAGTTTTCACTATGACAGCCATGGGTTGTTGTTTGGAGGAATGCCTGGCAGTCAGTTGTACTATAAGTCAGCAAAGACCCAGTACATTCCAAACAGCAATGTCACAGAAATGGAAATTTAGCAAAATGGTCAGAGGATGAGATAGCCTGATAAAGTAAGAGAACCTCCTGCTGCATGTGACAGCCCATTGTGCTGTTTCTGAGTCCTCATCAATTACATCTGTCTATTACCCTGGAACTGTGAAGCACATGCAACTGAGACAACAGAAAGATGGCACATTTTTTTGGGATATCTATGTTAGGAATAAAAATATACCCCACTCTTTTCATAAATTCAGTATTGACAGGAAGAAAACTGTAATTCATTTAATTTCCTAGCAAACTTCGAATGTAAAAAAAACTTAATTTTGCAAGCTATGTAGATAAGTTTATCACAGAATTTTAACATGAAAATCCAAACAACAATCTTAAAGATATTTCACTAGTCTAAGTAAACATTAAGCTTTCCCAGAGGTACCACAAATGAGATTCTAAGAGTAAACTTGTTATCTATGTGTACTGAGACATTTGTGCCTCAAATGTAAACTACTAATTCTAGATCTCAAGTAGACTGAGAAGCAACATAAGCATAGTCACAAAAAGCACATCCCCAACTGAATTTTGGTGGCAAAACAGTCTACCATTAATTCCCATAATATACTTCTTTCACGTTTTTGTTACTGTGAGCAGTGCTATCAAGCAGAATGAAAGCATTTACTCAATTTTTCACAACACATGTATGTAAGCCATTTCAATGCAAACCATCAAGGAGGTTTGTAAGAGACACATGACATTCATATAGCAATAAAAAGACAGAGGGATTAATTAACTTCAGGAAATTTGAAAAGAGATTTCCTTTTTGTGCTGATTCTGACTTCTTCACAGCTGTTTTAGTAGAAAAAAGTGCACAACCATAATTTAGCAAGTCCTATTGAAAATGGCTAATCCTTTACACATTCATAACTTCAGTGAGAAATACATATAGCCTGGACAAAAGTTTTAATCTTTCTAGGATTGGCACTCCCATGCTAGCATTTGATTACTGACTTCACAGACCAAAAATAACAGGTAGTAAGTTGAATTAAGTGCCATTTAAGATCTCCTCTAAACTGCAGTTTGGTTAACTTATTTCAACTACTTTATTTCTTTTTTTTTTTTAATTTTGCAGCTAACACTAAGAAACCTGAATACTTTTGCAAGTTCATTGCTCAGTCTTAAATATTCTCAGCTAATTCTTAACACAGAGAAACAGAAGTGCTCGTGGACTCAGATTGGTGCTTGAAAACAGCAAACTAAGTAGCAAAGACATAAATGAGAAATTATCATATGTAGCAACACATTTCAAATTAACTTTGCAGAAAGACAAAACAAAGAATCTAGCTGGCAGTTTAATGAAGGTCTCTACTAATCGTAAAGCAATTATAAAGCCCTGGAACAGAGAAAGAACTCATTATTACTCTTCATGAATCAGTCTAACAATACAATAGCTACAGCCACTAAAACCCAATTTTTTTAATCTTTTTTTTTTCCTGATGTAAGATAGTGAAGAACACAAAAAATTCCTTAGATACAGGTTGAATAACCAACTGAGATTAAGTTACTCGGTAAAGATATAAAATTCAAATTAATATCTGACTTATAAAAGGTTAAATGGATACTTCTAGTAATGTTTGTGCAATATAACAAGAAAGCAATTAAATTAAAAGACAATTTACATCTATACACAAGTATTTTCCTGTGGAAACAGGATTCTTTTACACTTCACTAAGCCCTCACTGTAACAAGAATCCATGACAATCTATCACAATAAGAACATCCACAGCCACACAAGGTAACAAAAATTGAACTGTCCAAGACAAACAACTCTTCCTTCAAGATATAAAGCAACTAAAATTCAGTAATTAAAAAAAACTCCAAAACAATCCTAAAACCCTAAGTCTCCTCACTAGGTGGTTTCTTCACCATTACAAAATTTATTGGACTATTTAACTTGAACATCTATTATGAGCTACCATAAGAAATGGGTACCAATCACACCCAGGAGAGTAAATTATTTTCTATATAATATACTTCACTCCACTACCAAGGATGCTTTTTTTTTTCCCTGTAATTCAGAGTTACACTTGAGTTCAAGCAGTTCTGATGATCAAGTGATTAAACTAAATAACTCACCATTCGCGAAAAGCATGCTGTAAGAATTCCACTTCCAGATCCTACATCAAGTGCTTTGGCTCCTTCATGTAACTGATCAGACAGAAGTTCAAGCGCATATGCATGCTAAGAGAAGACAGAGAGAGAAAATCTTAAATTATTTTAAATGTCTGTTTTACTCAATATATGTTAATTTATTCAGAAATTTTGAGAAATGGCCTGAGTATCTGTGTAAGAAATTTCAGAATAATTTCCATTATAAAAAAATGGAGAGGAAGGAGTTAACTACATTATATAATCACTGTTATTTCATTAGCTTCAACAAATTTAATGAGTGTATTTTTTTTGTTAGTATCCATATACAAAGCCTCATCTGACCATTCAAGCTTCTAGCACAGACTCTATTAATACATTGGGAAAGACGTCATAAATCAGTTTATTTCTCCTCAGGTCTGGTGGCTCTTACTATTCTGGCAGTATATGGCAAATAAAGAATTTAATTTATCGTTATGCTATATGCATTGGAATAAGCTGGTACAAAAGCTAGCTAGGAAGAAGGCACCTCTAGAACATTAAGGAAAATGGCTATTAAAACTACCTCCTGTATTACCTTCACATTGGATGAATCAAAGAATAGGAAAAAGAAGTTGTCTCTTACAAAGGCAGAGAACCAGGCTCACGTATGAAATGCAGTAGTCTATACACACTTCACGACTTTTGCTTTGCTACGTGGTAGACCAATACACAAACTAAGCTTAGGCTGCACACTGAAAAAACAATTTGTTCTTTCATGTTTCAGAGATAAGCATTACCACACTCTTTCAGCTTAATCCATCCCGCCCAGAAAACAGAAATAATTAAAATATTCTGTTAGAACACTTCTTGTTAATATTTGCTTAGAGGATATGTTACCTTTTTGCTCTAACACTTCATATACTACTACAGCTAAGCATTGGAAAAATAATGGCTTAAGGAACTTAAAATTCTAAAGCATAATTTATAATTATTAATACTTATTTTTCCCCTTAGCAACAGTACTTTTTTCTGTCTTTTCTTGAATAATATTGTTAACATCGCTATACATAATTCCTGATCTTTTTATACTGATAACTAAGCCAACTAGAAGAGAAGCAAACTTTTACTATGTTTTGACACTTTCCAAACATCACAAAGACAAAATACATGCTTCTATTCACCTCTTATCTCAAATAAATAAACATAGAAAAATTGTATCTGAGTTAGATGTACGCACTGAAATCCCAACTGGAACACTCACCCTGGTCTCAAACTGATTGGCAAAAAACCTGCAACTCAGTACAATATATCTTTTTTCCTGTCCAAAGATTTAAAAGCACTATAGCAGTACCATACTGTAGGAATCGCCGTCATTTACTCCTGAATTCTTATGATTTTATAAATTATAGAGGAATTTACAATAGAAAGATCTCTGTAAATCTTCTGGTTCAGTCCTCTTTCAATACATGGGCATTTTAAATTAAGCGGCTTAGAACCCTGTTCAGTCAGCTTCTTTGTACATCAAAGGACAAAATTTCCACAAGCTGCAAAGCCTGTTTCAGTGCTTAACTACCCTCAAAGTTTTTTTTTAAACTCTAGAAACTAATCAGAATTTCCTATGTTGCATTTTTTGCCCACTCATTCTATTACTGCACATCAGCAAAAAAAATCTTGATCAATTTTTTCCACTTCCTCCCAGTAGCAATTCACAAAAGTGTCGCTGCAATCAAGTGCTCATTAAATTTACTAGGGTAAATGGTCAAAAGCATCTGGATGTTTATAAAATCGCTATACTAATAACCTAGGTTTAAGCTTACCATATGTGGAGCACTGATTGTTGCTTGGAAACCTGTAAAAGAAGAGAAGGGAAGATGTTGTTGTTCAGACAGCAACCTCGTAGTCTTTATTACCTTGACTGTGAAGTGCAACACCTTCACTGTCATTCTCATTCAGGGTACAACATCCACACCCCAAGAGTTACACAGGTACTCTACATCAAGAGTTACAGTACACCAGCTGAGAGCTATGCTATGTCAGCTCTGGACAGGAGAAAAAAAAGGGTTTGATCCTTGATCTCAGTTACAATCTCCACTCTGTCACTATACACAGAATGAATATCACATATTGAGCAAGTAGGTTTAATTCAGAAGAGTAATTTCTCCTAGAATCATGTAATTCCTTTTTCACTCAGTCCCTATGTTAAAACCTGAATTTGTTCGTTTGAGTTTCATGTAGTGGCAACCACAGAACATCTGGAGAACAACCTTGTGCATTTTGCCAACAGCAAATGAGAACACCTAAAACAATGGGAGGAACACTCACCTATATTTGTTTTTATAAATATACATAAGCCTTTGAGTACGTATCTTAAAACGTTTTTTAATTTTCCTATACGACTAACAAAGCTTCAGTTTCTTGCAGAATGCAGTTGGCATATTTGGATACATCAGGTAGAGAGGTGTTTTTCAGAAATATTAATATGCGTAAATATGTGTTTATTTTTCAAACTCCAGCAATTTGTGATGGTGCAGCTGATGTAAATACTTAAAATAATTTGCATCCCCTTTATGGTAGAAACATTCCCTATCTTTATAGAAATTATTCAGTTGGGACCAATGCAAAGTTTCATAAACCATTATGTGAAATCTTTAAAAATAGGCTTTGAATGGGAAGGTTTACGCATAGGGCAGTTGTTTCCCATCCAAATCCCGGTTTTATCTTTTCAAGACAAGAGAATGAGCTATATAAATGTACTAATTTCTTTTTTCTTGATCCAAATATGCCAACTGCATTCTGCAAGAAACTGAAGCTTAGTTAAAAGGTATGGAATAAATTGATGAAGAACTAAACAACCTTCCAAATTAAAGAAATTATTTTCACATTCTTAACACACAAATCACAAAAGCAGTCACAGTCACACAAATGAAAACAATCTCAAACACTTTTGCAAGATGCTCTTACCTATAGACTGTGGAGAGTCCATGTAAGGGTTGTATTTTGCATAGTGGCAACGGTCTGTAGCAAGCATTACTTCAAATACCTTGTCTGTTTTGATTATTCCATTTTCTATGAACAAATATATAAAAATGAAGGCATTGTTTCAGTGCAGGAGTCAGTGAAATGTGTTAACATATTCATAGCATTGGGAGAAATCATGTGCCTTACACAGACCTCTAACTCTCTTACCCTCATCATATTGCCCATGGCAGAGGTTTGACTACATCATCTTTAAAGGTCCCTTCTAGCCCAAGCCCTTCTGTGATACTAAAATTAACTCTGGGGTCCAGATATCAAATAATGTTTAAGCCAGTGAATGTTGAAAAAGATTTTCCCAGCAGTTACAAATACTTTTCCAAAACCATTTGCAAAGATCTACCCTTTAAGAAAACTCAACTTCATGCATTACTTTGATAAATCCTGAAAATATATTCAAGAAATGAGAACTACTATGCACACCAAACAAGATATAGTTCATATTTCTAAGAAGCTATACAAGTAATTATTGAAAAAGATACAAAAGCAAGTTAGAAATGTAAAGTTGAAGCATCATTGCTTGGTACTTAAGTTTCCAGCTCTGTCTTGTGTTAGCGAAGAAAAAAAATTATTTTGTAAAGAAACTCCCACTGAATCTGGGGCAGACTGAGGCCAAAATGTTTTTAAATCAAAACACTCTGAATCTTTTTCACCTTTCAAAATAAAATATAAATGTGCTTGCAAGTAAAATGTCAGAAGCAGCCATTTTTCCTTGCTGTTTTACTGAAGTTTTTTTTTAACATCGATAATTCTATTTTTTTAAGTTCTGAAGAGTACATTAATGAATAACAGAACACTTTGGAAAACAAATAGAAGAAATTAACTAATTACTTGCATTAAAAGAAGATATAAACTACAAATAACTGACATTTCAATGATGGATTGCTTCATTAACTACTTTCTTTAAATAAGGATTTATTTGCAAAACTATACTTTAAAAGAAAAACAAAAAAAGCCAGATCATTTGAGCACCATTAATATCTAACCCAAAACATGAAAATCAAATTGTAGAACTTGTGTAAGATTGTCCTGAAGTTGCACCAGTGGTTTTTTTTGAAGTACCACCAACAAAACACATCTCTGCCCAGGACTGGGCTAACTTCTGCAGAGATCTTCCTGAGTTTTTAGTGGGTGCTCTCAACTACACCTATTAATCATGAGATTTGCCTTTCCTTTTTTTTTTTTTAATCTACTAACTGAGTCCAGAATTAATTATCTTATATAACGTACTCTTGAATTCAGAAAGGAAAATAACTCCTCAGATCATATTCCTTTTTGGTCTGAAGACAAATTATCACATAGAACTGCAAAAGGAATATACTATTACTAAGGAAAATTTTAAGGAAAACAATTCCTTTTTAAAAAATATTATTTTTTAAACTATTTCTGGTATCTGGTAAGTCCCAGAAAAAGCATACACTCCACTCACAGTCCCCACACATTAGACTTATCCTGTTCTTTGATTTCATTTTGAACTGAACACTATAGCAGTTCCAGTTAAAGGAAACTCATTTCAATCCAAGGTTTCAGTAGGCATTTGCAGCAGCTCGTAAATTTACTTACCAAGGAAAATTGTACCAAAAGAAAACAAACAAATCAATCCATTAATAGACGGGCATGAACAATAGAGGGTAATAAGGAGGAAAAAAACGTCTTCCCTGACCACTAGAAATTAGCTGGATGAGTTGTATAGCAGTTCTGTGAACAAAGCATAGAAACCAAAAGAATCAAACTTTTACTCTTCGAGTCTCATTAGGAATCACTAAAAAGTTAGTATCTCCAAACCAAATGTATTTTTAAAAAAGAAGAAGAAGCAAGGCTGATTATAACAAAAGTGAGGAGATAAAGGCTCTAGGGGGCTGAAGGGATGTCAAAAAGCAGTAGCCAAGAAGCCTTCACAAAAGGTCTAAAATAGTGATTTATTTCTTTACATGCAGATAGGTGCATATATTCTAGAACTATAGGTAGCCACCTGCTCTTTCCTTTTGTGCCTTGTGGAATAAACATGCAGAGACCAAAAAGAACAAGTTTCCAGCTTGGAAGTGCAACTGCAGGGCCCTATGATAAGGCCAAGAACTTTCTCTAATTTCACAAAACTTAGCTCCAGTCAAAGTACATACAACATTAAATAAGATGCTTACACTGACAGGCAAATTACAAAAAACCTCTGAAAACAGAAACTACTAATATTCTACAGATTTTGAGCATTCAGGATGCTCTCATTCAGCAAACAATCATGAGATTTGCTGACTCTTGTACTGTCTTTGATTATTGCCGTCTTTTTCGTCAGTAAATAAAAATTGAAGTTACCCATACTCAGAGTCCCCAGCAGAACCAGTGGGAAAAGCTGAATCTGCTGTCATCCATTTATTTCAATTATTGAATAACACTCTATCCTCATAAAACAAACAACACCCTCTCAGCTATCCCTCCATAGATTAAGTCTGCTTTTCAATTTGCTTATTTTTAGATGGAGACAGCATGACATTTTAGGTGGGAATTAAGAAAAACAATCAAGCCCTAAACAGTAAGGTCAGTATTGAGTTAGTTGTAATTTTTATTTTGTTGATAACAATATTCTTAGTCTCACAGCTGAATAAAGAGGAACATAGCAACTGTAAGGTACCGAACTACAAAAAAGTCCTTTCCTTCCTACAATAGTCAGTCCCAAGATGACCAGCTGCCAGGATCTTAATTCTGTCTGAAACGTGTCTCTATCAAATTCTCAATTAAGTCCAGAAAAAAGGATATCCCCTAAAGAAGCCAATAATAGAAGCTTATATTGCAAAGAAGACATTCTAATTTCATGCCATCTCTACCAAAAAGCCAAAACAATAAAAAATAAATAAACTATTAATAAAATGCAAGCTAAAAACATTTTCTAAATCTTAGAACGAAGCTGTATATTGCAAGAAAATAATTCACAATTAAATATATAGTAGAATATCCTTTCCAATTATAATGTGCAGAGAAAACTCTCCTTGAGGAGACTGTTGGGTTTCATGACTGATAATCAGTTTGTACTGCAAACTAATCAGATATTAAAGTGTTTACGAGCAAAGGATAATACACAAACACACTGACAGCTTGAAATAAAAAGCAAACTACAAAACACCCAGTTATATCAGCACAACTTCCAAGCTTCAAAGGGCTGAAGCCGAAAAGTAAGTACTTAACAGTGGAGCACTGCCTGCCAAGTTCAAGAGTTACTCTGTGCAGAGGCTGTGGCAATGACAACTTGACATAATTGGAGCATGTTTTGAAAACTCTCTCTGGTCTGCCTCTTTTCCACAAATAACACCATGAAAACAGGAAAAGAGCTCAGAGCAGTCCTTGGGCTTGAAGGTGGGACTACACCACTGTTGAACGTAACCTGGGAAACTGGGCAGTTGGCTGTCAGAGAGCAAGAAAAGAAGAGTCTGAAAAGGCACCATGGACTTTCAACAAGTAAACAACCTATCTTTTCATTTTGTCTTTATTTAGCAACAAATGCACTACTGAAATGCTTATGTTTCAAAGAATTGCCTACCTCACTGTAGATCAAACATGTTTCTAACCAAACCATAATATACTAGTAGTCAACATTTACACTCACACTGGCTTCCAGATCAGAGAAGAAGATGTGTCATTGCCACATGACCCAGCACACAAGCTTACTATACAAACCATAACACCTACTCAAACTCCTCCTGGGCTGACTTTATGTATTTAAAAAACGCTCCTGCAGATCCCAAAACCACTTACTGTGCAACTACTTCAGCATCCACATAGTTCAGCTTCTTAGATTACTTTCTCCATTACCACTGCAGAATACTTCACTTAGGAAGACAAATTTTCAGCGAAACAGGGAAATTTAAAAATCAGACAGAGGTCTTAAGGCATGATGCAAAGCACATACAGCTTTATGTTACAAAAGATTCATTCATGTAGATTAAAATTACTGATGTGACAAATCATAGTATGGTTTGGGTTAGAAGAAACCTTAAAAGCCAACTAGTTCCTCCTTATGTTGGGGGCCCCAGAGCTGGATGTAGCATTCCAGCTGGGGTCTCACCAGGGCAGGGCAGAGCAGAACAGAGGGGCAGAATTGCCTCCCTTGCCTGCTGGCCACGCTGCTTTTGATGCTGGACAGTTTGCTCTCCACAAACTTGCAGAGGGTGTACTTGATCCCACTGTCAATGTCAATGACAAAGATGTTAAACAACACCAGTCCAAGTGCCAACCCCTGAGGAAGAGCACTTGTCAGAGTCTATACTTGAACATAGAGTATTTGACCACAACTCTTTTCAGTGCTACCACTCAGCCTTATCTATCAAATGGTTCATTGGTCTAATCCATGCCACTCACTTTTAAAGACATGGATATAGTACAGGACAGTGTCAAATGACAGTCTCCATCTGAACCACGCAAACCAGCTAGCAGCTTTCCAGAGGAGAAAGGGCTGGGAACAGAATCACATCCTGATTTGCAAGCAATGTGAAGATTGTTGGTTTTAACCATCTGACCAACTGACATTTTTAAAGTCAGGGTCTTTTTGTTTGAGCAGAGGAAGAAAAAAGATGGCAAAGAATGTGGTTCAGTTAATACAATTTTATTTAAGTAATGAGCATAGCAAGATTTCACTGTAAAGCATGAACACAAAGAAAGCACTTAGAACAAGAAGTGATGCATCACTAGGATCCAATAACGGACACGGACCCAAAACATACAAAGCTCTTTGTGCTAAAGAAAGTGAAAGTAGGTGTTTGTAAACAAGTGTTTCTTATACCACTCATACATGCAAACTTCTTGTGCTTCGCTGATAATTTAAGAACTATATGCCTCAAACATTCAGCTGCCCATCTACTGTCGCTGTGATTTGGATTCACAATACCCAAACATTATCCAAACAGGATGTTGCATACAGCTCACTGGAAGGAATCACTTGAGAGTCTATCTTTCAGAGATACAACGACAAAGACTGAGGAAAGCAAGAGTCCATCAGAGCTAATCTAGAAATGAAAAAAAACTATCAAGTCCCATGAAAATTCCAA